CCCCAAAACCCCAAAACCCCGTAATGCTAGATGGTCTCTAATTGAAAAATTAGCGTATAATCTCAAGAAATTAAACTTATCATAGAACAGTAAGATATATATATTTAAATTTTCTTCAATTTTTCTTGATTTAGACATTCATGATTTTATTATCTTTAATCTCAACGTCCCTTTAAATTTATTTATTCTTTTCATTGTCAATTATAGACTGAAAGACTTGAAGTAGATCCTTTTTAGTCTTTTCATCTACTAGATCTGAATTTAGAATTCCCTATGACTTAAGAACTATTTCCCCAATGTCTTGGTAAAGATGCTTATGATTTTCAAAGGCATATGAAGCTAGATTTTAAGGAGGAGGCTCTTGCTTTTAAATTTAATTTCTCCAATAATCAGTAATTCCATTAATCCCTGGAACATGCTCATACCTGTAAAACTTTTGATATTCACGCCAATGTCTAGTCTAGCTTTGATTCTGATAGAGATCGATCAATTCATACAGTCCATCGGTGATTTAATTATCTTAGTTGTCACTATTTTCCTAAGTCTTGGCAAAGTTCAATAATGACATCATTTTATGCAGGACTTCATCCTGATTAGTTTGATTTTTAGTTGTATTTAGTTTTCTTTTAATGAATAAGAGTTGCTTCTAAGAATTAAGATGCTTTTTACTATTGGAGTTAGACTATATCATCAGACTTAATTTCTCTGATGGTGTAATATTGGCTTTATTTTGCTCAATCATTAATTAAAACTACTATTTTTACTATTAGAATTTTTCTTTGTCTATTAACCCCTTTTAAGAAAGTAGCTGATAGTTTGAGTTATCCTAAGTTTAGTTTTTTATAAGTTATCTGTCTCCGTTTAAATTTGACTCAACTAAAGATTTGCTGTATTAACTGTTTATTACAGCAGGATTTTGTAGAAGACTTTTGAGACTTTAGTCTTGTTCAGATGTTTTCTGTTAATTTTTGCTGCTATTTCTTACTAGATTTAAATTTAGACCAGTCTGAGAGTTCCTGCTTTATTGCAACAGATTGTTATAGAACTCTTATTACTACGGTGTCTCTGCGAAGTTTACACCAACAGTTTAGACATATGTTTTGAATCCAAGGGGCTTTTATACAACAATTTATTACTAACTCGGAGTATTCTTCAGGTTAGGCTGATTCATATACGCTGATTAAGGCCTTAACTTAGCTTGAGAATGATGGTGTTGCTAGAATTTATTCAGTTGATTTGCACGTCTGTGATTAATTTATGAGTTGTTTGAAAGTAGAACTTTTCTCATGTTTTAATCTTAAGTCTTGTAAATAAGCTCATTCTCATTTTACTGAAGAAGATCTTAGTGTGAGACAAGATTTTTTCTCTTCACTGGAATGCTATATCTAGAACCTTAAATCTACTTGCCAGAATTATATAGCGAGCTGCCATAAGGACCAGCAATACCTTCATCATAAATTAATGGGTGATAACTGTCCTTGGCATTTTGGATTCTGAAAAGATTGCTTTACCGATTCGTATCCTAGTTATTGCTTCCGTTATATTCGAATTGATCTTCAGAGTTATTGTTATTAGGATATATATTATCCAGAATAGATAACTTTCTCTCTGTTGACGGGTGTCCCTCAGTTGTCCTGGTATTTGAAGCAAGTTCAACCTTAAGGCTGAATTTTTTCAAAGGAAAATTAGAATGATTTTGATTGCTCCTCATATGAGCAATGTCTTCTTCTGTTCTATCAACTTTTGATTGAGAAATATTCACTGAGTTACTTCTACTTGAATAAATAACGACTTTCTATCGAGCAGAAATACTCTAATGCAAATTATGCTCCTCGAGGACTTCAGGCAGTTAGTTTCTATTGTAGCATAGTTGTTTTAATTGCAAATTTGAAGAAGATTATGGCCTTTCTATGATTCTTTGTTTGCTAACTTAAAATGCATTGGACTCATACAGATCCTCAAAATTCGTTTGTATACTTGTAGTCTTTGAGAAAGGCTTCTTTACTGCTGTAATAGGTCTAACTCTCATTCCACTCTTAGATATAAGTGCTTTACCTGTTCCTTGAATCGGTTATCCATTGACTGCAAACTACTAATTAGGTTGTTTCATAATATTTTAAATCTAAATAATATATTTCCAAAAACTTTACCCTGCTCGATATCTCAGCATTATGGGGTTTTGGGGTTTTGGGGTTTTGGGG